AAGGATCAAGCAAGGAATGAAGGCTAGGGTTTTCTGAGGTGAAAAAGGGTTTGGAGGCTGGTAAGAAACCCTAAAACGAGTTTAATTGTGCTTAAATACGAAGGAAACCCTAAAAGATCTTGGGCTTGGGCTACATCAGTTCTCACGTCGTGAGCCTCTATGTCTCACGTCGTGAGACCAGTCCCGAACAAAGTTTTCATAAAACCCTATATCACGTCATGAGCATCTATGTCTCACGTCGTGAGGCTCCTTTCCTTCCAAAATCCAACATTTTTGACTCTTTGAAACCCTAATTCGATTCATACAGGAAAACGGGTGTTACAACATAAATGTTATTTTTTTAAAAGACAAACACTTAATTTCAAATAAAAAAGGGTTACAATAATTAAAAACATAAAATACGATTAAAAAATTAAAACATGACTTAGTTCCTAAAAACTTAATTAAAACCTAAAAACTTGACTTAATATTAGAAAAACGACTTAATACTAGTGATGGAAAGTTTGAAAATTTCTTTTTGTTTGTTCGTGGGGTTTTGTTTGGTTGAGATGAAGAAATTTTTCTTTGGTGAATTAAGAGAGTATGTGAGGAAGATAATGATATTTTTTGTGGGTGAAATGTTGCGAGTGTGGTTTGATTTATAGTAGTCGAATTATAGTTGAATATTTTGAATTTTATTAATTAAAAACGTTTTTTTATTAAATTATACAATATATAGGTTGGTGGAAATAAACGAAGGAAATAGATTTGGGCAGTCAAACAAATTGCAATGGAAATCAATTCATTCAAATTGGTCAATGCAATCCGACTCCTTTCTTCTCAACCAATCACACCACATCTCCACCTTATCTTTCCTCTCGCTACGGACGTAGTGATTCTCCCTTAGCGACCCCCCTAGCAAGCGCTAGGGAGCGGTGTTTTAGAGCCCATAACAAGCTTAGCGAGGGCATGTAGCGATCCCACTCCGTTTAGTCTTAGTATTCGTTCTTATTATTTTTGTATTCATATAATGTTCATTTATTTACTTTTAATATTATTTAGTGTATTTAATTAATGATACGTGTCTTTATTTTTTCATTATGAACTGACTTTTTTTTCCTTTTTTTTCTATGTCGGGAGTAATTTCTAGAGATAGGCTAAATATTACACCTTCCTTGCATTTTTATGAGTCTATATTGTTTGTTGGATTATTACAATAAAAGTCATTAGTTTTACACCATCTTTCTAATTTAGCCCCAAACTTTTTTTTTGTTATGTAAAACCCATAAGTTTTCAGAAACCTTTCCTTTTTTTTATCTATTAGTCGGTTACCAACCGGTTATCCCATGTGGCAAGAAAACCTTTAGCCCAAATGGCTAAGGCGATGACATTTCTTCTCTTAGGTCATGAGTTCGAGACTGGACAGTCCCTTTTCAGCAGCAACATCAGCAAAGACCGACTTTTCGGCTTGTTACATGGGATGACCGATTGGTAACATGCTAATAAGTAAAAAATAAAAGGTTTCTAAAAATTTATGACTTTGATATAAAAAAAAATTTGGGGCTATATTAGAAAGATGGTGTAAAACTAATGGAGTTTGTTTTTAGTTAGACGGGTCAAATAGGCCCACATAAGAAACCTCGGGTCATACCATACGGGTCGATGCTTTAATTCGCCTTCGCCGCCCAAAATAGAAGCCGAGGAAAACGGAGAACGAAGTCAAAGAAAGTTGAAAGCTTTGCACTCTCGATTCTCGAATCATATCTATCTTCCCTCAATCGTCTGCGCTTCTCTCAATTTCTGGCCACTTGTTCGTTTCAATCGATTACAGGTTTGTTCGTTCTCTTATTCATATTATTTCTTCATCTATTTCATTGCTTCACATGAAATTAGGGTTTGTTTAATCTTTCTAGGTTATGTTCTCGTCTGTAATTTGTATTAATGGCGGTATTTTACGTACTTTTTTCGTAATGTTTTAGCTCATCCGTTCGCTATGGATTTCTGAACTGCCCTAGAAAATATGAGGAAAAACAGTAATCTATTCGCCATTGTTTTAGACTGTCATTGTCATCTTTGTTCTATTGATTGAATTGTATAATTTTCATATATTTGTAAACAGTTTTCTTTCGATTCAGATGAAAACTGTTTCTGGAAAAATTGTATCTACGAAGGCTGTCAATCTCTCGAAAGCTGCCAATATCTTATCAAAATTTGTAACCTCCGACAATGGAGCTTCTCAATCGGTGTCAGCTTATCTTCGTCGTGCTTCTGTGGCATTCAACGAGCTTGTATACTTTAAAAAGCACAACAAGCTGAAGAAAAAGGCGAATGAAGACGCTTCAACCATATCTGATATAAGCCAAAGAAATTTACAAGAAGATGATGTTAGGGTTCCTAAAAATGATAATGTTGAAGACAAGAGTGAAGACAGGAAGAAAAAGAAGAAGAAGAAGAAGAAGAAGAGGAAGAATGTAGAGGTTGATGGGGGAGAAATTGGCAATTTGGAAGGACCTGAAAGGAAGAAGAGAAGGAGAACTGAAGCCGATGAATAGCCCTTAAAATTTGTTAAAATTTATGTTGTTATTTTAAGTTACATTACATGATGAATTTGATATTATATTTGTGCAATTGTTTAGCTTCTAGGCAATTTTGATGGTGGTAAACTAGGTTGTTGCTATTATTAGTTTTCATTTAGGAATCAATTTTGAATGATTTTGATATCACATTAAAGATCTACATGCGTGTGAGATATTTTACCATTGTTATATGGCTATTGTATCCATAAGGCTATCTCCAATGGGGTTAATGGATAAAGTAAGTGAGTGAATGTTGACGTGGCAATCATTGAATATATATGAGTTCAATGCATTGCAGATGGTCTAACATATTAAAGTGGTGTTTATTTTTTCGGAAAAGCTCTTTTTGAACACTTATGTCTGCGGGCGGGAAGTTATTTACGTCTACATGGTCACGTAAACTGATTGTTTTTTAGAAGACCGCAGACGTCAAAACGTCTGCGCGTCCTCTTCTCCAAAAAGACATGGACCAAAGTCTGTTTTTTAGAAGACCGCAGACGTCAAAACGTCTGCGCGTCCTCTTCTCCAAAAAGACATGGACCAAAGTCTGTGGGTGAGAAGACATTTCTCACAGACATCTTCTAGCAAAAATAAAAAATAAAAAGAAAATATATAACTTGAATATCATATAAAACTTAAATATTTAAGAGTCATGGTCGCAGTTCATTAAGCATACGTATAAATAAATACATAAGCATTCAAATCACCTTTGTCGCTATTTATATATTTTTTATAATACATAATTTTAAGAGATATTTTATGCAAATGATTTTATTAATCATGATACCAATATAATTTAAAAGAAATAAAAGAATCTTCTTGATCCTATTCATCTACAAAGAACGTAAAGGAGAAAGTATTAAAAATAACCATGTAATAGTCTTTAAGGATATATGACGTTAGACAAAATTGCAAAAATGGTCCCTGTGGTTGGCAAAATTCTGTAGTTTTGGTCCAAAACGAAATGTTGGTGCACCACTGGTCCAATTTTAGATACCTTGTGTGGTTTTGGTCCCTATGGTTATATTTTCTTGTGTTTTTGGTCCACATCCCATCTAAAATGACTAATATGCCCCTTAAATAATTATATTTTAATTTCTTTTATTATTTTCTTATTCTTAAAATAAAATGAAAAATAAAAACAAAATAAACTCACCTCTCTCTCTCTCTCATGATCTTTATACCCATCTCTTAAAATACCGACCCCTTATCTTTTCCATTGTAGTGCCGGAAAAAGAGCAGGAAGAAGTTACACCACTCTACTTCCCACCTCAATGATCCTTCTGGCCACTTTGCTCCACCATAAACAACCAACACCTCCCACCGGCCGCTACTTCCCCTTCATCGTCGTGAATCTCTAGAGCAAGCAAGAAAACCAAAAGTCGACTGCCACCCATCGCCGATGCAAACCACCACCACCCACCACAGCTGATGTCGTCGAAACCCCTTCCCCGACCTCCCTTTCATCTCCAACTCGTCTCTCTCCCTCGTTTCTCACTTCTCCGGCGAAGAGAGCCACCACAGTCGACTGTGGCAGCTCCTCCGCCTCCCCCTGTCGTGACCCACCACCATCAAACACCCCAACGCCGTTGCTGCCTTCTATCTGTTCCTCATCAAGCTACCTAATAGAAGAGAGAGGAAGCGGCGGAGCCACCCGCTGCCATCACAGCTCCGTCATCACCACCCCTAGCCACACCGAGCCCCCTTCCTTCGCATCTTTCTTCCGAGACAGAAGAGCACAAGAGCTGGACCACTGGACCATCGATGGACCTTGGGGCTGTTCCCATTCGTATTTCTTTTTCTCCATCGGACGAGGATCTTCATAATTTTGTGTATTTTGTGTGTGTGTGTTTAAATAGATGAAGTTAAAGAACCCAGATGAAGAGAGAGAGAGAGAGAGAGAGAGAGAGAGAGAGAGGTTTTTTTATTTTGAATACAAATAGATAAAAAAAAATGGAAAAACAAATTATAAGGGCATAATGGTCTTTTTAAGTTGATAGGGACCAAAAACAATAGAAATATCCAATTTTGGACCAGTGGTGCACCAAAATTTCGTTTTGGACCAAAAACACATAAAATTGACAACCACATAGACCATTTTTGCAATTTTGTCATGACATTATTAGCAAACTAAATATTCGATGGTCTCGTATTGAAACAGAAATACCTTTTTTTTTCTTTTAATATATTAAAAAATAATAAATAATTTTATTTATTTTCTTTTCATAAAACCTAGACTTTTATATTTTCCAAGTCATTTACTTGTTTGAAGAACATGATAGTGCAACTTACTGAGTATATATGGCTTAGTTATGAGATAAAATTATAGAACAGTTAATGCAAAATATGAAATAAATAATTTTTCTAAAAAATTTGTTATTGTGATTGTATGAATTATATTTCAGTGTTGTAAACTAGAATTATTTAAATTTCAAAGTTGAAAACTTTTTTAAGTTTAAAAAATCAGTTTATTTATATTTCAGATTATTTTAACAGTCTGCAAACATTAAAAAGCAAACAATCTTCTTGTAGACTGCAGACGATTAGTCCACCTCTTCTTGTGCAGACGAGGTCCGCAGAATGCAATCCTTTTACCTCTTAAAAAAGCAAACAACACCTAACACAACATTTTCAATAACCAAAAAATTTAACAAACAACCGCACTAAAACTTATCAAACATTCACAATAAGGTCGGAGGGTGTACCGCAGTTTAGGTGAGTGGTGGTCAGAACCGCACCCAGGAACACCACACCATGGGTGCGGGATAGCCCCCTGCAGTTTCTCCTCATCACACTCTCTCTCCTCTCTTGATTGGTTGAAACCATTTAAAGATAATTTTCATTTCTTTTTTTTTTCAATTTTTATTTAATTATATATATATACTAAAAAATTATAAAAAAAATATATTAAAATTTATGGTTTTTAATTCCCTACAAAAATAGTATAATATTTGTATTATAAATATATATTTTTTTAAAATAAAAAAATAAAAGGAAGTGAAAGGTGACCATTTCTTATGTTTTGAATAGTGAAATGAGAGTGAGAGGAAAGTTAACGTGACACATAAAAAATAAAGAATGAAAGGTATGTAGATCGGGTCTAAAGGTGCTTTTACATGAAACTTTTTTTATGGTTACTACTAACTAGAGGGGAATCATGCGCGCCAAGTGTTCGTTTTTTTTCTCTTGTCAGCAAAAACCTCCTCTTATAAAAGTCAAAACATTAGTCAACAGAAGGTTCTAGACTTGTGGAAAAATGTTTGAATTTTATTATTACCTTGAGTACCAGTTGGACCAAAAAACACGGTTGAATTGAAACAACTTTTTTTCATCTTTATGATGTTTTAAAGGATCTAAAACCACTAATGGCCCATCTTCTCCAATGTAATCAATCACGTTCTTTGTGTCGAGAAACTCGTGATCAAAAGGTGAAAATATGTACGAAATTCATTACATAGCAAGGCCATTTGAGCTAGAGGTTCAGATGCAGCCTACAATATATTGGTAAACAAATAATAAAGATTTTATAAACTTTTGTTTTTCTTTAAAACTATTTCATGGAAACTAATTACCTGCACATCTCCATGTTCCCGAAGTTGGTTTGTAACAAAGTTGACCACATCCGAGCTGAAGGTAATAAAATTTGGATAAAATAATGAAGTCATAAAAAAAGAAAGGTAAGATAGATTGAACCTTTTAATGTAGTCTCATAAGACAGCAGTTGCTAACAATACAAAATCTGCTTCAGGCCCAAGTGTAACTTGATAAATATCAGGAGTAGCAATAACCAAGTCCCCAAAGAACTGTATGTCGCACCAGATCATAACCCCAATTTTATAATTTATACACAGTACAACACAGCAGTGGGCAAAGGGTATTTCAGTCATTTACATAAATGAGAGAATGCCTACTGGGATATAATTTTTTCAGATTATCTGCCTTCGGCAACTTCTCAACCTTCAGACCTCCTCCAAGCTAGGAAAAAATTATAAAAACCATATATAAATATATATATATATATATATATATATATATATATATATATATATATATATACACACCTGCTTGTTGGGCTTTTCTTGAAACCAAATTATAGTTGTGCCCTGTTCTGGATGCAATCACCTCCATCAGCATTAACGATCTCAAAATTAATCTCTTAAACTTTCATTCAAGGAAACTGAATCAGTTTCCAAAGCAGTTGACAAAATGGGTTTTCCACCTTACAAAACGTATAATCAACCATTGCCCTTTGAAGACGTGTTAGATAATAATAAAAGAATCTTTCAATAAATTGATTTGAATGATGTGTCAATTAAGTTGGTGAAAAAGTATCTAAAAGCAACGGATTGTAAGCTCACTTAATGAGACCAAAACTGGAAGTATGCAAATAGAAAATAAAAAAAAAAACAATGAAATTGAACCTTCTTTTTATCTTTCTGAACCAGACAAATTACTCTTGAAAGCTCTACAAATCTTTAAAAGTGATCCCTGTAATTTAATCAATCGAACATTACAACAAAATAAATGAGGATATTTTAGGAAATTACATGTAGTTCCCAACTGTGATGAATTTACGACACCACAATGACAATGAATTTCAGAAAAGTCCCCTAAAACATATTACTCATAAGTAGGAAGCTAAACAGGAAGCCCTAAATCCAATTGCAATTAGTATGACAGCCTCGTAGAAAACCAATTAATTGATCACTTGTAGTTGTAGATATTCTTCAACCAAAATAGAAAAAAGTAGATAAAATGAGCTAGAATAACATATACATGGCAAATAGTTAAAATAATATAAGCGTGCAGGAATGTTTCATTAGAGAAGATATAGCAAGGGCATTTTGGGAAATCTAATTTGTGGAGTAATTTCTTGATAAGCTAAAAAAAACTTTAAATCCCGGCCCGGGGTACCTTCACTGACAATGTCTTGGTCCGGTCCGGTAACAAAAATACCCAGAATTTATGAAGTGAAACCACTAAACCTGCAATATTGTAGCATTAATCAAAATTATATACCAGAAAATATAGACTAATAGACATAAATGATATATGATCAGAATCCACAGGAAAAAATGAAAAGCTTAAATGTTGATCTCCATTTATTCGAACATCCAAGCACACACCAATATAAAACATAAATTTTTAATTTTAACAACTATCATAATCCCAAAAAAGCCTTTAAAATTGCAACAATACACTAAACTTATTATCTTTTGAATATGAATGTCACTTTTATGATGAAGCAACTCCTAATAATCAAACGAAGTCAAAACTAAAATCAGAAAAAGAGTTGTTGGTGCTTCAAACGGTTTTCAAAACTAAATACCTGATGATAAATGATTTGGTTTGTTTCTGGGTAAAAGAAAGGAGTTTGATAGTGCAGTAATGACTTCAGATTTGCAATGGAGATATAACTTTTCTAGTAAACACCTCCCACATTGATCCAGTTGTAGTACCTAAATTTAAATATTAAAAAAATACAATTTTTAGCAAGAATGAATGAATGATGAATACGCTTTAAAAAAGAATTAAATAATTTTACCATGAGTTTACCAATATCAGTTGTTACTATGGTTTTGGATTAGAACCCACAATAACATCAAAAAGAAAGGAACAATCTCTGGTAAGGTAGAACATAATCGATGAAAGGAAAACATTGATTACCAATATTAGAACTCAACTGTTTTATGATTATTGTGTTCAACACCCTCAAACCACATACTTTTATCATCACTCCCAACACCATTAATATAGAAGGTAGAACAATGAGGAAGATCAATCTTTAACTCCAACCTAAACTGGTAACCTATTCCACCAGCAACATATAATTCATAATCTAAAAAATTCAAGAACCTACAGATCAAAACACAAAACTGATAATACATCTTGATGTGTTACCAAAAGGGCTTCCTTTTATCATTCAAAACAATATGTATGTTTATGTTATGAACACAATGTGTATTTCCTGCTATGAACAGCAGCAATTAGGTAGCAATTGAACAATTATGACCCATCAGAAAACAATTGAACAGATACACTAATACACCATTGCAGTGACAGCAGGTAATTTCAAGGGGAAAAAAGAAAATCGAGAGCAGGCAAAATGGAGTTCAACGAAAACAATAACAATTGAAGGCATACATCTAAAATTAGCAGAAACCATTCAGATTTTGATTTCAACAAACACATATGATTTCGATTTGAACTGAAATCATAGGAAAAAGGAAAATAGAGAATAGCAAAATACAGTTTACCTGAAAGCAAGAAAAGATGAAGAAAATCGTACTTGAATCGCATCTGTGATGTGTGACGGTCGCCGGTGTTGTGGGTGCGACTGTATCCGACGATGGATGTCGGCAGCAAGCAATCGATGCACAAGGAATAGGGAATCGCCAGAGGAGGCGACAAGAGAAGAATGGAGGCTGCATTGTTTCTTTTCCTTCTGAAGCATACGAACGGAAACCACAAATCAATCGACAATCAAAGTGAAGCAGATAAACATTTGATCGGAGAGCAAAAGGCGCATATTTTGCTACCTAGAAATCACAAATCGATATTGAAAGAAACGGTGTGATGCTAAAATCTTTCGACAAATCTACACGTGTGATGCAAGATCCAAAGCCAAATCTGACAGGAACCTTTGTAAACCTTTTTTCGTTTCTGTTATACGATTTCCATTAATAAAATATGAATTTTATTAATTTTCCGTTAAACTTCTTGATTTAGAAAATCATCTAGTTTTATATAATTAAATTTATATATGCGAGTCGGAACCAAATCACACGAAAAACCCGAATCTCTCGAAAAATCAAACAATTTCCGACCTTAGTGAGTTTACGGCCGTAAACTCGTGTACGGCCGTACACTCGTTTACGGCCAGCGTCGGGTGGACCCCCACCACCGACCATGAAAACCCCTATAAATATGAGACCCCCACCCTCATTTGAACACTTTTGACCGGAAACTCTCTCATTCTCTCTCTAGAACCTCTGGCCGTAAACACCTAAAACGCCCATTTTCTTCCGAAAAACATCAGAAATCATCATTTGGGGTCGATTGGGAGCATCTGGAACACGTTTTCTGCGAAATCAAACACCCTTGTTCTTGAGTTTACGACCGTACACACTTCATATCTTCAAATCTTCAAAGGTCGTAAACCCGTTTACGGTCGTACACTCATCGAATCTTCAAAGGTCGTAAACCTAGTTCACGGCTGTAAACTGCCTGTCGACCGTAAACTCCTTTCATGGCCGTAAACCCATGTTCACGGGCGTAAACTCCCTTCATGAATGCCAAACCCAAGTCCTTCGACGGCAATGGTGGAGTCATTTCCTTAACCCGATGGTTCGAGAAGATCGAATCCATCTTCGAAATTTGTGCCTGTTCCGAAGCCAACAAGGTGAAGTTCGCCGCCTGCACTTTCACCGACAGAGCACTGACCTGGTGGAATGGTCGTGTCAAATCCCTAAACATGCCGGTAGCAAATGTCATAGGTTGGGAGAGCCTAAATGAACTCATGCTTGCTGAATACTGCCCAAGGGGCGAGATGCAGAAGTTGGAGCACGAGCTCTGGAACCTGAAGATGAAGGTTTCTGACATTGCTGCCTACACAGCTAGATTCTGTGATCTGGCTCTTCTCTGTCCGGGAATGGTCACCCCGGAAAGCAAGAAAATTGAGAGGTACATTTGGGGATTGACGCCCCCAACTCAAGGGAATGTCTTGGCTGCTAAGCCTTCTACATTTGATAGCGTTAAGTGTCTGGCGCAGACTCTGATAGATCACGAGGTCGATTTTGATGAGGTAACAGCCGCTCCCGAACCACCAAAGGCTAGTGGTGGAAAGAAAAAGTTCTGGAACAAACGAAAGGGTCAGTCTTTGCAGGAACCCTCCAAGAAACAGCAAACAGTGGCAGTTTATGCTGCTACTACTCCAGCTGCTGTTCCAACCACCCAAGCACCTACCAGTGGATATGCTGGTACTCTCCCAAAGTGCAACAAGTGTAACTTCCATCATCATGGGCAGTGCCGGGAGATGTTGTGCAACAGCTGTGGTAAGAAAGGACACACAGCTCGATTCTGCAAAGCATCAGTCCAACCAATCAATCATGCTCCTGGAGCGGGCGCTGGTCAAGCCTGTTATGGCTGTGGAGAAGTTGGGCACTTCAAAAGAAATTGCCCCAAGGCAACAACAGCTGGCAACACAGGGAGGGTGCTAGCTATGGGCCAGGAGGAAGCTGTCGTTGATCCTACTGTTGTTACGGGTACGTTCCTCCTTGACAACTCTTATGCATGCATTCTTTTCGATTCTGGTGCGGAGAAGAGCTTTGTTAGTCATGCATTCAAACATCTACTCAAATGTAAATCTCAATCTTTAACTGAAACATTTACCGTCGAGATGGCTAACGGAAAAAAAATGAGCACTAACGACATATTCATAGGCTGTACACTTACCCTGAACGATCATTCATTTCCCATCGATCTTATGCCAGTATCCATAAAGAGCTTTGATGTCATAATTGGCATGGATTTGTTGAGCCCCAATCGTGCTAATATCCTTTGCTACGAGAAAGCTATCCGTCTCAATCTTCCCTCTAGCGAAGCCCTCACTATTTACGGTGATAAACTCAGTTCGAACCTTCGTATCATTTCATGCATCAAAGCCCAGAAGTATTTGCGGAAGGAATGCCATGCATTCCTAGCTCATGTTGTTGACGAAACGCAAAAAGTTAAAGACCTCGAGAGCATCCTCCGAGTCTGTAACTTTCCTGATGTCTTCCTCGAAGATCTTCCAGGAATCCCTCCCGAGCGCCAAGTCGAGTTTCGTATCGACTTAATCCCCGGAGCTACTCCTGTAGCTAAATCTCCATATCGTCTCGTGCCGGCAGAAATGCAAGAGTTATCCAGCCAGCTCAATGAGCTGATCAACAAAGGATTCATAAGACCGAGTTCCTCACCTTGGGGAGCCCCGATCTTATTCGTGAAAAAGAAAGATGGATCCTTTCGGATGTGCATTGATTACCGAGAACTGAACAAGCTTACCATCAAGAACCGTTATCCTTTACCCAGAATCGACGACCTCTTCGATCAACTTCAGGGAGCCAATTTCTTCTCAAGGATAGACCTAAGATCAGGGTACCATCAGTTACGAGTTCATGAGAATGATGTTCCCAAAACAGCATTCTGAACTCGTTACGGACACTACGAGTTTGTAATAATGCCCTTCGGTCTAACCAACGCACCGGCGGTATCCATGGATCTGATGAATCGGGTGTGCCGCCCTTTCCTAGACAAGTTCGTGATCGTATTAAATATCTGGAGACATTATCTCTACGGAACCAAGTGCACAGTTTTCACCGACCATAAGAGCCTACAACATATCTTCGATCAGAAAGAGTTAAACATGAGACAGCGGTGATGGGTAGAGCTACTCAGTGACTACGAGTGCGAAATACGCTACCATCCCGGAAAGGCCAATGTGGTAGCGGATGCCCTCAGCCGAAAAGAGTATTCAGGTCGTAGAGTGAAGGCACTGACAATGACCATCCATTCCCAATTATCCGCGCAAATCAGAGAGGCTCAGCTGGAAGCCTTAAAATCGGGGAACATGTCGGATGAACCCCTGAGAGGAATGGAAAAGAACTTAGAGGTCAAGGGAGACGGAGTTTACTATTTCATGAACCGGATCTGGACTCCAAAGTACGGTGGTTACAGGGAGGTTGTCATGAATGAGGCTCACAAGACTAGATACTCCGTTCACCCAGGTTCAGACAAGATGTATCTGGATCTCAAACGACTCTATTGGTGGCCGAACATGAAAGCATAAATCGCTACCTTCGTGGGCAAGTGCTTGACTTGCGCCAAGGTGAAGGTAGAATACCAAAAGCCCTCAGGTCTACTTCAGCAGCCAGAAATACCTGAGTGGAAGTGGGAAAGGATTACAATGGATTTCATCACTAAGTTACCCAGATCTCCGAGTGGGCACGATGTCATCTGGGTAATTGTCGATCGACTGACTAAATCCGCCCACTTCCTGCCAGTCAAAGAAAACTTCAAGATGGAAAGACTGACACGAATCTACATTCGAGAGATAGTCCGTCTTCATGGGGTGCCTGTATCTATTATCTTCGATCGAGATAGCAGGTTTACCTCGAGATTTTGGCAGTCACTACAGAAGGCTCTCGGAACTAAGCTGGATATGAGCACAGCTTACCATCCACAAACAGATGGGCAGAGTGAGAGAACCATTCAAACATTAGAGGATATGTTGAGAGCCTGTGTCATCGACTTTGGCATGTCGTGGGACACTCATTTGCCCTTGGTTTTATTTTCCTACAACAACAGCTACCATACCAGCATCAAGGCTGCGCCATTCGAAGCCCTCTATGGCCGTAAGTGCAGATCCCCTCTGTGTTGGGCTGAGGTGGGTGACACGCAGCTAGTCAAGGGTCAAGTCCCCGACAGCACTCTCACGGGTCCTGAAATCATCCGAGAGACGACTGAAAAGATCATACAAATTCGAGAACGACTAAAAGCGTCAAGAGATAGACAAAAGAGCTACGCCGATAAGAGATGAAAACACTTGGAGTTCCAGGTTGGTGACCGTGTTCTTTTGAAGGTCTCACCCTGGAAGGGCATGATACGCTTCAGAAAGCATGGAAAGCTAAATCCAAGATACATTGGACCATTCGAGATCCTCGCTAGGATTGGTCCCGTAGCATACAAACTCCGTTTACCCCGAGAACTTAGCAACGTACATCCCGTCTTCAACGTGTCAAACCTAAAGAAGTGTCTGTCCGATGAGACACTTGTGATTCCCCTCGATGAGATCGAAATAGACAAGAGCTTACACTTCGTAGAGGAACCAGTTGAAATCATGGACCGGGAAGTCAAACGAACAAAACAAAGTCGCATCCCGATAGTGAAGGTTCGCTGGAATGCCAAGCGGGGACCTGAATTTACTTGGGAGCGCGAGGATTCAATGAAACAGAAGTACCCCCATATTTTTCCAAGTCCATGATTTGTATTCTATGCTTAAATATCAGGACGAAATTCCCTCTAACGGGGGGATGATGTGACAACCCGAACCTTTTTCCGTTTCTATTATACGATTTCCATTAATAAAATTTGAATTTTATTAATTTTCCGTTAAACTTCTTGATTTAGAAAATCATCTAGTTTTATATAATTAAATTTATATATGCGAGTCGGAACCAAATCACACGAAAAACCCGAATCTCTCGAAAAATCAAACAATTTACGGCCTTAGTGAGTTTACGGCCGTAAACTCGTGTACGACCGTACACTCGTTTACGGCCAGCGTCGGGTGGACCCCCACCACCGACCATGAAAACCCCTATAAATATGAGACCCCAACCCTCATTTGAACACTTTTGACCGGAAACTCTCTCATTCTCTCTCTAGAACCTCTGACCGTAAACACCTAAAACGCCCATTTTCTTCCGAAAAACATCAGAAATCATCATTTGGGGTCGATTGGGAGCATCTGGAACATGTTTTCTGCGAAATCAAACACCCTTGTTCTTGAGTTTACGGCCGTACACACTTCATATCTTCAAATCTTCAAAGGCCGTAAACCCGTTTACGGCCGTACACTCATCGAATATTCAAAGGCCGTAAACCTAGTTCATGACCGTAAACTGCCTGTCGACCGTAAACTCCCTTCACGGCCGTAAACCCCTGTTCATGGCCGTACACGCCTCTTGAGCAGTGAAAAAGCTCGTTTTCCGATTGAACCAAGTCCCGGTAAGATTCCTTAACCGAAAACAAGTGTTTTTCTAACACTTTACTTAACAAAATCGCTAATTTAAATGCATATATGTATTTATTGATATTAGGATTCCGTTAAGTGCCACGTACAACAACCCGAGGATCTTCGTTTCCAGTCGAC